CTCACCACCCTCACAGTCAAGAACTTCTTCCTAATATCTAACCTAAATCTCCCCCCTTTCAGTTTGAAACAGTTACCCCTCGCCCTATCACTACCCTCTCCGATCAAGAGTCCCTCCCCACCTCCCCTGCAGGCCCCCTTTAAGCACTGGAAGGCCGCTATAAGGTCTCCCCAGAGCCTTCTCTTCTCCAGGCTGAACAACCCCAACTCTCTCAGCCCGTCCTCATAAGGGGAGGTGCTCCAGCCCCCCTAATCATTTTCATGGCCCTCCTCTGGACCCAGTTGCGCAGGTCCATGTCTGTCTTGTGCTGGGGGCCGCAGAGCTGGACGCAGCACTGCAGGTGGGGTCTCATGGGAGTGGAGTAGAGGGGCAGAATCACCTCCCTCGACCTGCTGGCTACAACAGGCTGAGTCCAGAACATTTGATTTGAACCCTCTCCACAGCAGGGCATTTTAGAGCAACCTGCCTGTACTGAAGGCAGCTGCAAGCTCCCAGTATCTTTTTAGCAGTAAGTTGTGGACTACTTGCTGCAGAGTCAAGTGGAGAAAGGCAGAGAGAAACTACGTGGTACTGTCTGTATTTGTTGAACCAATATTCACCATTTAATGTTCAGGAGACCTTTATTTATTGCAGTCAGTCGCCATAGGTAAAATTCACGGGTTCTTGTCCTAGTCAGAACTCTTACAGATTTTGTTACAGGTTGTGAGAAAAGTATACCCACCTGAAAAATTTCATCTTTATGAGACTCAAAAGAATGGAGTTTCAATTTTAAATTTCGAAGATCCCATAAAGCCACCGTCTGGGAGAAGTAACAAGGAATCATTTTTACTGTAATGGCTATAGAACTGTTATCTAAAATACTTATAAGTTTGAAGTATGCACAAGTAAATACCTTGTCAGCAGAACCAGTTGCTAGAATGAACTCACTGTAAGGGTTGAAGGACAGACAGTTGACCTCGGCCGTATGAGCATCGACAGAATGACTTGGCTTGGACGTAGTATTCGATCTTGTGTCCCAGCTGTTGCAATGAAGGGTTTGGGGGAGAGCGAGGGGCAGGGAGGAAAGAGCAAGAGTGAACAAACAGAAGTTTTTACAGGAGGCTCTTTTTCACTACACTACACATTAGTTTAAGAGACTATATTATTACTAAACTTCAGTCAGAAGCTACAATTTTTATTCAAAAACCTTTCAGATCGTATCCGTTGTACATGAGCAGTTCACACCACGAAGCTGATGGATGTATTAATCACGTCTTCTTTTCAAATGATGTGAACGCATTAGATGACACACAGATTTCAGTGATTCTGCAGCATTACTACAGTTCACTGCACTAGAGAGCTACACGACACCATTCCATAATTCACTTGTTTTTTTTTTTTAATTCAAGTGCTCTGGACTGGCCCACCGACAGCATGCAGCAGGCACTATCCAGAAACCACTTAACCCCCACTTACATCATAAGCTTCTGATCATCAGCCACGGATCCAAAGAGAGATTCGTGGAGCAGGTGCCACGCCACATCTTCTACTACTGCAGAATGCCCAGTGAAGATTGCTTTCGCATCAACGATTTTGCCTTCTTTTGGTCCAGCGCTTACATCCCATAAACACACGGTCTGTAAATAAGAGTCATGTTCTACTGTTATGCAGACTTCAACAGTGATATCTTAAAAAAAAAAAAAAAAAATCACATTCTACATATAAACAGAGAGATGGCCCTCCTGCTCCTGAAACAGTTACTTGTTTTTGAAAAGGAAAGGATCACTTAGTACGTCCTAAGTCAGCTGTCAGCAGAGTCAAGATATCAATCAGTTTTCTTCAAAGACAACTATAAAAACATTCTGTTCTTACTTCACCAAGAACGTTACACAGAACTGGTTGTTGAGTACAGCCTAAAATCAACTGGCAACCTTTAGAAATATAATTACAACATGTGAGAGCTTCCCATCATAATATACAGCTACACTGACCCCGTTTTTCTCTAATGATTACAGCATAAATTAGGGGGGGCGGTTTGGTTGTTTTTTAAAAAAAAAAATATATAGGGCAAAAGACATGTCTTTTACATGATCATCTGATGCACTGAGAAGATGCCCACTCAAATTTGAGTTCCATGATAAGCCGTAGCCTTCTTTCTGATGCCCTCTTAATCGAAGGTCAGGATTACACTCTCCACTTGGGTCTGAAAGAGAGGAAATTCCTTCCATTTAGCTTCACCTTGCACAACAGTCCGTAAGAGCATCATCATCATCACCCAGGAACTTTGTTTCCATCACAATAATGGTATTTCATACAACAGCCTCACAGGAGAATGCTGCTTCTATGGAGACTTGCTTATGATATCGAACACAACCAGGCAGTTAAAGTCATTGAAGACATGGGCCTTCTTATCATCACCTCTCCTCCTAACTGCAGTTAAATACGAGTTTACTTTTCAATGACAAGAGGCATTTTGCTTAACTTCAAGGAATCTGACCCACCTGGTTTTGAAGGATGTTTAGTGTAGTCAAATACCAACACATCAGCAGATGGTGTTTTTGTAGCAATGATGCAGGGATTCTGCGGCATGTAACGAGCACGGTTTACTTCACCTTCATGGTTAATTTTAATCTCTGTTTCAATTTTGCCAGTCACAGATCCAAAGCCACCAAACTCTACATTTTATCAGAAAAAGGTCAGTTTATTACATCACATCAACTATTCTGAACAGGTTAAACACCATTTCATGCATCTCCTCCAGTCCAAGAAGCAGTAGTAAGCATCTTGCGATAATACAATAAGGATTACGAAAGACTAGCATCATGTGGCACAACAGTATTAACACTAGGTATTTTGAATCCTTTACGACAGAAAGTAAAGCGCTGAAAGAGTTTGGTTTTGAGGTAGATGGATATTGGTTTTCACCACAACTGACAGAGCTGGTAGAAATGCTAGTAGGGATTGTGTATCGTAACGTTACTTAAATTCTTCTGAAATATAAAGCTTCCTCTTTTTAGTCACTATTAATTATCTAGAATTAGTGTGAGTTGGAAGTGCATGTCAGCTTTAGTATTTAACAGAAAGTCAGAATACCATTAGACAGGACACTTACTAATGCTACTGCTAACACATAACCTCGAGAACGCACGTGCTGCCCACCTCCTTTCTCACTGTCATACTGGGAAGCATCAAACTGATCATCATTGGGAATCTGGACTCTTGCAACAACCAGGTGGTTCTGTTCATCGGACGTGTGCGTTCCCAAAACCAGCCAGTGCAGCGCATAATCCTTTCCTTCTGGCCTGTTTAGAATAATAAATGCATGGAATAGAAGTAAGCGCTCAGTTCCAGAAGTTTCATAGCTAGCATCAATAACATTCAAGATCCACACTTCTTCAGGGAGCTAGAAAAGAGAGACTCGCGTAAGAGATCCTTTCCTTTGTCACAACACACTTGTGCAATAGAGTGAACTAGACTCTGATATAAGCAAGCCAAAGATACAACCAGAAAGGGTAGAGTGACAATGGAAGTCAGTAAACATTGCCACTATGGCTTAAAAGGCACAATTACAATTTGTACAGTAGTTCAAGGTGATGCCAATACCTACTTCTGCCTTTAATTCCCCTGGCAGTTGCACTGTATTGATTTATAAAACAATCGATGCTCCTTTCTATAAAACACAAATACTGAGGACAAGTGGCAACCTATTTTAGTCACTTCTCTTAGAAGCTTTCACCAGGTACGGTTTTATTCCAGAAGGTCATTTTTAAGCACCACACAAATCCTAGCTAACTAGAATCAAATTTCTCTTCTGGAGGCTAAATGCAACATTTAGCAATAAGCAAAAGGCTGGACAGACAGTGCCATTTATCTCTGAAAGGAAAAATGTAAACAGTCAAAACCAAGCAACCTCTGCATTCTTGAAAGCAACAAACAAATTACACTGCCTGAATCCAAGCAAACAGGAATCACTGGGGCAATCATAAACCACCATAGTTATTACTACACCACTTTCAAGGCATCATCACATATTTTGAGGGGGAAAGGAAAATACAAAACAAAACAAAAGACACACAATGCACACGCACTTACTTGCATCAGGAACAGGTGTCCCATCGTGTCAGGTGCCATACAAAGAGACAGTCCTTGCCTTAAATGGCTTACATATTTTGACACTGGATAATTGGAAATACCAGGTTTTAAACTGAATATTAAGTCAATCTGCAAAATACGAGGCAAGCAGAAGTGTTCCTCATAAGGGCTCCACACCCTCACATCCCCACTTCATTTTCTCCATGCCATGACTAGTTAGCTCACACCTCTCAACATCTTCCCCAAACATGCTGGTATACAAAATTCAGCAACCCTCTAACCACCAAGTGTAACATCACATATATAAGGTGGAATTTTAAAGAGGAAAGAGACCATCCTATCCTCCGATTGCTGCAGGTACTTCACACATAAGCTATTTTAAAAGCTGGCTGTATCCAGTTTACAAGAACACGAGGGACCCAGTTGTTGCCCACTACCTCAATGGAGCCTCGAGTGGCTACTGTGACAATTTAAGTTCCATAGTAGCTGGCACATGAACAGAATCTATCCCCACCTTCAAAATTCTTTAAGAAATTATCCAGTGAGACCACAACTTTCAGGGGGAGGCGGTAGCATGGGAAATCAAAATATGTGAAGTCAATAGTGAGCCTGGGCCAGAAGCAGGATGTGAATCTCCAGTCTCAGAACGACATCCTCTTCAGTAAGTCCAGACTTTAAACAAAAAACACCACCAACAAAAAAAGGCAGATACTGTATCTTTTACAGAATAGTAATATGCAACACACATGAGGGAAAATAGCCTTGAAGAAACAGCTAATATAGTGCATAGATTTCTCTGATCAGAATTAACTATACAAGAGCATTAGGTCTCTCATATATCAACAAACTGAGAAAGATTTCTCTCCTCGTACCTCTTCTGCTAGGCTAAGCTAGAGTGCTGTAAAGTATCAAGTTATGACTTTTTCTCCAAAGCTTCTGCATACCCAAAGGGGTTTTAAAGTTGTAAGCAAAGTAGTGTTACAAGCTCACAAAGAGGAGGCTAACCCAAATTATTCTCATCTTGCATGGTTTTTATCCTTAAATTACTTGAGAATATGGTTAACAGAGACAGAAAGAGCAGTGGAACAAGCAATTGCACACAACCTCAGCTCCCGTTTTGTAAACTAGGCTAATCAGCAGCTGAGCCCTGTGCCTCCCTGGCACCTTCCAGGCCTCTCTTCCCTTCTCTCACCTAGTCACATCAGGCAACCACTGCACGGTGAGGCTGGGCCACTCCAGAGCATGTGTCATCACCAGGTCGTACAAGAAGGGGGTGTTTTTCTTCCAGATCTTGTACTCCTCGCTGATAACGCGCTCCTCCACCGTGTCCTCCAGCACTAGGGGAAGAGAAAGAGGTGAACAAGGGGCTCGGCGTCTGCCGTCGCCGAACTGGGGCGCTGAGTTGTGGACGGGGGCGAGGGGACGGGGGGGTGGGAAGAAACTTTTTTTTCGCCGCCACGGGCCGGGGCTATACCGGGGAGAAGATGGGGTAGAAGAAGAGGTCCCAAAGTGCCCTCAGGGAGCAGCCGGCGAGAGGACAACTGCAACCGCCCCACCCCCGCTACCACCTCGTCGGAAGCTCCTTGGAGCGGAAGCCCGGAGCGCCTCAGCCTCACCACGCCAGGCCCCCGGCCCCCGCACACGCGTGTTCACCCCACCGCCCAGCCGGGGAGAGGGAGGAGGAGGGGGTGTCTCTTACCTTCCTTGCTCGCCATCTTGGGTGTGCGCCTGCGCGCACAGGCGAGACGCAGCGCAGCG